CCACTTCGGCCTCCCAAAGTGCTGGGATTACAGGCCTGAGCCACCATGCCTAGCCACATGTTTTTTATTAATAAAAAATGAAAGACCAAAAAAGTCATGAGACCAAAAAATTTGAGAACTACTGCCCTATGATGTCTCCCAACTTAAGAAATTTAAAATTCTGGAAACAGAATTTCAATTAAATCTAACTAAAATATATATTCCACATAACACTAAAAATAGCATTAGGGCAGTGAGGTATGTACAATGAGTCTATTTTCAAAGGTTTTGGAATTAACTTTACTAAGATAAAAACGAACATTTTAGAACATCTAACAACATAATGATAATCATTAAAGTCTTTCTGCAAAATGCTTTACAAATAACAAAATCTTCATATATTTATTCTCATGGAAATTTTAAGAAATGACAAGACATAGGGCTACATAGCTAGGTCCATTCCCTAACAATGAAACCCTAAACCCAAGTGTCACAAATATTGGTTCAGTGCCAGCAACCCCTCTTGTGAGTGTCTTTCTCACTCCAATTCCCATAAAAATCAGCAAAAGTTACTAACAGTGCAGGGAATTAGTGTTTCTATAAAAATCACTGGTTGATATTCCAAGATTCTTTGACAACATGCATTTTGGAAAAGTAGATGACTTTTTCTATGAAGACTTAACAGAGAGAATGAAAATAAAGAGGAACTGGAATGAACTTTCATGACATCATTCCTGTTTCTATTGCTATATATCTTCAAATTCACTAATATTCTCTTCCACAGTATGTCTAACCTGCTATTAATGCAATCCAGTGTGTTTTTATTTATAACTGCATTTTTCATCTCTAGAAGTTCAATTTGGGTCATTCTTATATTTTTCATTGTGCTCATCACACTCATGCTTTCCTCCTCTACCTTGAACATATGGAGTATGTGTATGTGTATGTGTGTGTGTGTGTGTGTGTGTATATATACATATATATATATATATATATATTTTTTTTTTTGAGACAAGGTTTCATCATGTTGTCCAGGGTGGTTTCGAATTCCTGAGCTCAAGGGATCCGCCTGCTTTGGCCTCCCAAAGTGCTGGTATTACAGAGGTGAGCCACTGCACTCAGCCCTGGAGTATATTTTAATGTCCTTGTCTATTATATGGGTCTCCTCAGGGGACTGTTTCTATTGACTGTATTTTCCCCCAGTTACTGGACATATTTTTGGGTGTGGTAATTTTTTGGTGAATGTCAAACATCTTAAGTTTTTTTTTTTTTGTTTTTGTTTTTTTAATTATTCCTTTAAATATGGTGAGGCTTTTTTTTTTTCTGGGCAATATTTAGTTCAGCTGAAATTAATTACATCCCATTGAGGCTTGCTTTTAAGCTTTATCCAGGAAGATCCAAATCAGCCTTTTGTCAAGGGCTAACTTGGCCCTATTACTGAGGCAATATGCTTCTAAGGACTTGATGCTCAGTATGGTAGAAGGTCTTGTTACTCTTACTCTCCTTAGTGGAAATACAAACTATTCCCAGCCCTCTGTGAGGTCTGGAAATTGCTCCACCTACTCCTTTCTACAGTGATTCCTTCCTCAGTCTCAAAGATGTTGTCATAGTACATGCAGATGAGTACTCAGCCAAAAGCTTGGAAGAACCCCCTGTGAACCTCTGGAGCTTTCTCTCTGTGCAGCTACCTCCTGTCTGTGCAGTACCTACCTTCAGGTACCCTGTCTTGCAAATTTTGTCTTAACTCTTCAGTTCAGCAAGACTACTGGGCTCTCTTTGGGTTTCCCTTCTCTGTGATATGGCTTCAGGCAATAAGCCAGGGCACTTCCTTTGTTTTGTTTCTCTCATAGTTCACTATCCAGTGCTGCCTGTCGTCCAATGCCTGAAAACCACTGTTTGGTACGTTTTGTCTGGTTTTCTAGTTAAGGTAGGAGGATAAATCTGTTGCCCGTTTTTCCATCATGGCCAGAAGCAAAATCTGTATCACAGTCTTGTAATTTTCACATCTATCAAAGTGAGTCTTACTAATCTTTTCTCAATACCTAAAGTTCAAAATCTCTTTTGTCAATCTGTTATCAAGTATTGTTGTTTTTCCTTAAGAACAAACAAACCGGGTGGCTCATGCCTGTAATCCCAGCACTTTGAGAGGCTGAGGCGGGCAGATCACCTAAGGTCAGGAGTTCGAGACCAGCCTGGCCAACATGGTGCAACCCCGTCTCTACTAAAAATACAAAAAATTAGCATGGTAGCCAGCACCTGTAATCCCAGTTACTAGGGAGGCTGAGGTAGGAGAATTGCTTGAACCCAGGAGGCGGAGGTTGCAGGAACCAAGATCACACCATTGCACTCTAACCTGGGCAACAAGAACAAAACTCCATCTCAAAACAAAACAAAACAAAAAACCAACCAAGAAAACTCCAAAAGACTATTGCTAAGTGTTAGAGTTTAGACCCTTTATCACCTCACAGTGGATGTGAGCTCTATTTTGGTGCACTTTGAATTCTAATCCATATTTAAATGGCTATTAAACCGATTTTCCTAAAATATGACTTTCAGCTGTTAGACTAATTTTCCTTAAAAACAAACAAAAACAGCGTCATCATCTCCTTTGTTTAAAGAACACATAATAGCTTCCCACTGCTCACTTATTTCAAAGCTAAGAAAGGGCCAAGGAGACTAAGTACAACACATTTGGTTTAAAAGTGGGATGAAGGCCTCGGAGTTAAAAGAATCTGAGTTAAAATGTAGGAAGCAGAGGATGAAAACAATTCTGGGAATGACACCTCGGTCTTTTGACACCATGGTCTAGTATCTGTGTTGTTGCAGTAATTTTTTTTCATACATTTTTTAGTGTGAGGTAAAATATACATGTAGAGAAATAATCTAAGAAACAGTTTAGTAAATTATAAAACAAACATCTGTACAACCAGATCAAGAAAAATACCACTGCAGTCACCCCAGAAGATCCCATATGCTCCTTCCCAATCATAACCTTCTCTCTCCTTTCCTCAAGAGGTAATCATTTCACTGACTTTTATGGTAATTTCTTTCTTATTTTTCTTTATACCTTTATCACCAAATTTCTTTTGCCTGTTTTTGAATTTAATAAAAAAGGAATCCTATGTTAAGGATTCATGAATATTACTGTATGTGTCTGTGTCTTCTTGCAGTATAACAGTACACAATTTACATATCTACTCTCCATGACCATTTGGGTGATTTCCAGTTTTAGACTCCTATAAGTGATGTTATATTCTTGGCCAGGCATGGTGGTTCACACCTGTAATCCCAGCACTTTGGGAGGCCAAGGCGGGAGGATCACCTGAGGTGGGCAGTTGAGACAAGCCTGATCAACAAGCAGAAACCCCGTCTCTACTAAAAATACAAAATTAGCAGGGTGTGGTGGCACATGCCTATAATCCCAGCTGTTTGGGAGGCTGAGGCAGGAGAATCACTTGAATCTGGGAGGTGGAGGGTGCAGTGAGCTGAAGTCGCACCATTGCACTCCAGCCTAGGCAACAAGAGCAAAACTCTGTCTCAAAAAAAAAAAAAAAAAAAAAATTCTTGAAAAAATGTGTTGAATTCTCTAGGGTATATATGTAGGATGAATTTTTCAGGTCATTAGGCTGGGTATCTTCAATTTTACCAGATATAACCAAACTGTTTTACAAAGAGGCTATCCTATTTATAACTCATTATTTTGCTGGTAGGAATGTCAAATGATACAGTTACTTTGGAAAACAATTAGGCAGTTTTATAAAAAAAATTAAACGAACTTACCATATGACCCGGCATTTCATTCTTAAGTATTTACTCAAAAGAAATAAAAACACACATCCACACAAAGACTTACAAATGCAAATGCAGAGTAGTATTGTTCCTTTTTTTGTAGAGACGGGGTTTCACCATTTTGTATTTTCAGTTGGTCAGGCTAATCTCGAACTCCTGACCTCAAGTGATCCACCCGCTGTGGCCTCCCAAAGTGCTGGGATTACAGGCATGAGTCACCTCACCCAGCCCATAATAACTATTAATAGAAGCTGGTAACAATCCAAATATCCATCAACTGGTGACAGGATAAACAAAATGTGGTATGTCCATACAATGGAATACTACTTATCAATAAAAAGGAAGTACTTGTACATGTTACAACATGGATGACACGCCATACCTACCATTTCCTGAATTATTCCTGGCTCTTTCTGTGTTTCAAGCCACTTCAGTTTCCTGCACTGGCCATACATTATTTGCGTCCCCATGAATGTACTCCAAAATGCTCCAACATGATCCTTCTAGTCTTCTTTTTCATACTCCCACAGAGACCTCATTTGCTTTTTACAGTCTTAATTACCATCTCTCAAATTTATCTTTTGCCTAAACTTTAGCCCACAGTCTACAAGTAGACGTTACCAGAAAAACTTAGGAACAATTCTATTTCTAGAAAAGCATTAGTAAATTTTTTTAGGAATCATAGTGTCTGATTTCCTGTTTTACTTAAATTAAAACTCTGTGTTAAAGAAAAAAAGTACCAATTAAAAGCCTAAAAATCTTAATTATTGTAATATAAACATTTTTGAAATAATGCCTTCTTTTTTTTAGCCTGACATGTTCTTTAACAAGTGTTAATTTTCTTTTCTTTTCTTTATTTTGAGATGGAGTCTTGCTGTCGCCCAGGACAGAGTGCAGTGGCACGATCTTGGTTCACTGCAACCTCTGCCTCCAGGTTCCAATAATTCTCGTGCCTCAGGGTCCTGAGTAGCTGAGACTACAGGCACACACCACCATGCCCAACTAATTGGTTTTGTTTTGTTTTTTGTATTTTTTTAGTAGAGACAGGGTTTCACCCACGTTGGCCAGGTTGGTCTCAAACTCCTGACCTCAGATGATCCAACTGCCTCAGCCTCCCAAAGTGCTGGGATTACAGGCATGAGCCTTTGTACCTGGCCCTAAAAAGGGTTACAATTATTATGGATCAAGTTATAGAAAACATTAAGTCTATACAGCAAGTATCTTTGACTTACCTCAAGTGGCATGAGTCTAATTAGCGTTGCAAAGCACTGTGTGGCCATGAATCTCACACTGTCTGTCTGATCACTCATTCTTCCCAATACAGGAACAACTAAAAGGACAATATATGGAACAATACCAACATCCAGTTGTTCCATTACACCTGAGTGAGTGATTAAGGAAATTTTGAAATGGTTCCGAGACACACATTTTCACAAACAAATTGATACCAAGATTGAAACTTTTTAAAAGGCTCATCATTTTCTCATCTGTATTATGAGGGAAGAGACTGACCCTCCAGGCCTATGATTCAATTATAACAGTATCTGCCCATTTTGTTGCTTCTTGGAAAATATTATGTAACTTTCTCATGATTAGGAATATAAAATTACAGTTTTCTTCTGAGGAAAGCCAGAAGAAGCTTTACTAATAAGATTTTTCTCATAGAGAAATTGCTACAAGCGTCTGGGATTCCAATGGCAAAATAAAATAAGTCACATTGTAAGTAAAGGAATACAACTGAGTGTCACTCAAAGATTAATTCCAAATTTCCCACCAGGATCTTGACAATCACCAGCAGGATATAGTGAGCCTAGTAAGCGCAGTTCTCCTGTAATCTTCAGTATTTTTGAACCAGAGTTCTACTGATTTGATCTTCATCCATCTTTTGTGCTCTGTGAAATATCTTTCAGATACTTTGAGTTAAAGAATGTTAGCTGCTGCCATACCCTTAGCAAAGGGCTTGCCTGTATGTTTCTAATTATCTAGTATATTTTGGTCATTTTAAACCCAATTAATGAACAAACTTTAAAAACATAACATGTTTATAACATAAGGACTACCTACAGAATACCTGATTAATAAGATACTGATTATAAACAAATAAATCACTTACTAGACATATAGTTCATAAAGTACATAAACTATTTTGCCTATTAAAAAGATGTTTTAAAATTAATAGCAATTTTCCAAACTTTCCATGTGAAAATTTTTATCATAAAATGCAAATCAATTTGTAACATATTTGTAATAAAATACGAAAATATTTCAAAATAAGATGTAAAAAGAATAGGCATTTTTTGGAACAAGGCAGGTTATTTATGTGCATATTTGAATACATCAATTTCATTTTAATTATCCTTAAGTGAAATGAATATAATTCCTCAACAGTTTGTCAAATAAAAAAGGATACAGGCAAGTGCTTCAATTGCACCCTCTTGTTTGACACTGTCATCAATTGCTCCCAGCCATGGAAGAACCTTCTCCAAAAAAATATTCATTGTTTCCATGGTAGCTATTTTGCTCATGACTCCTACACAACGAGCAGCCATGTGCCTCACTGCAGTACTGGGGTACTGAAGGCACATATAAAGATGTGGCAAATGCTGGACCAACTAAAAACAAAAAGTTAATGGCAATTAGAATTCTTATTAGGAAAATACTGTTTAATATGTAACTATAATAGCCCATACTCAGGAAAGTTTTCAATATTCTAAGTGACTCTAAAAATACCTCCAAATACTTCAAAACATTACTGTCAAAACATTCTCAATAGAAATCGAATCCAAATCTAAACTAATGTATTACAACTCTTTCAAAAAGAAGGGGAAAAAGGGTATAGAATCTCTCTTCTGCTCATATCCTCTCTTAGGCATACAGGAATACTCAATTCTTTCCAAAATTAACAGGAAACAAACCGAAAAGTACTTGGCAAGATTCTTCTACTGAGGCTGGAAAAACAGCACCACACATCACCAGCCCCCTCCAAATTTGGTAGCACTAATTTAGGTTTAGGTACATATTTTTTATTCAGTGGCTTGAGTGTTCCCGATTTTATTCTAGCACCATACTTCGGTAGGTATCCTCCACTGTAGCTTTCTGGCTTACCATAGGTGTTATAATCACAACAGCATTATGACAGCACCTTATTATTAAATGTCTGCTACATGGAACATCAGAATTAATGCTGATGAGCCAGGTATCTGTTCAACAGTTTGATGTGCCTTACAGTTCAGCTGAATGCATGTTGCTAATTATGGAGGTTAAGAGCATACAGATGGACTCTTCTTTTTTTTGCTGTTTTTTCTTTTTTTTTTTGAGCCCAAGTCTTGCTCTGTTGCCTAGGCTGGAGTGCAGTGGCACAATCTCAGCTCACTGCAACCTCGGCCTCCCGGGTTCCAGTGAGTCTCCTGCCTCAGTTTCCCGAGTAGCTGGGACTACAGGCGTGTCCCACCACGCCCGGCTAATTTTTATATTTTTAGTAGAGATGGGGTTTCACCATATTGGCCAGGCTGGTCTTGAACTCCTGACCTCATGATTCACCCACCTTGGCCTCCCAAACTACTAGGATTACAGGTGTGAGCCACCACACCCTGCCTATTTTTCTTTACTAATAGTAAATCAGCAGAACTTTTAACAAGTAAAAGGACATACTTTATTACTATGTACAAAAAAATCCATTCTTCTCTACCCTCTGATAGATTTTCCCTTTTGTGTTAAATAACAAAAGAGAACTGGGCTAATACCCTTCAAAATGGGGTAAACTGCAGAGAGCTTCTTATTGAAGATACATGAAAAGAATAATACTCTCTTACGAAAAAAAACCAGATAATTCTCTATTTTCCTCCTCCCTCTGTCCTAATTCTTTTATAAGAAACATTTTAATAGTTAAAAAAAAAAAAAATCACAAACCAGTGTTCTATCTTTGCACTGACCAGCTTCACCTTAGGCAGATAACTCCTTTCACCTTTATACTTATCTAGGAAACAGATTTCATTATGTATGCTTTTCCTTTCTTGGAGCTATATTATTAGGATCATCTGGATGAACAGGGCTGCAGTTTTCTTCCCTATTTATGTCTGGCTCCTGTGCCATCAGAGTCCTTCCCTCAATTCCCCCACATTCTAAGCTTCCAGGTTGGGTTTTCTCTCAAATTCAAGCAGCCAGGTCTACATCAAAGCCCACAAGAGTTGCACTGTTAGTAAAGGAGGAATCTAGTTATACCACAGCAAAGAAAAATGCAATTACTAAGGATGACATCAAAGTTGTACCTTTTAAACCTTAAGACTTTTTAATAAGATCACTTGTTTTATTTGAAGAAATATTACACTTGCATTAGTTAGTTACCAAGGGATGAAGCTCAGAATCCATTGAAGCTGCTGCTGTTTCAAAAACTTGCAGAGAATTCACCAATTCTTGAGCAGGGCTATCTCCCTTTTCCAGGAGGGATTTTCCATCTGTTAAAATATATTGTCTGTATTATCTGGCAAATAATTTTTCAAAATCTAGAGCACACAAAAACCTTTAGCACTTTTTCAGCTAGCATAGGAGAGTCAATTTTGCTTTTGAGTGTTAAAATTAAATGCCAAGACCTTAATTTAAGTGCTGGGGTACTACATGTAGAGCAACCAAAGAACTTAAACATAATGATCCATTTCAAGTATCTCTTCCAAAAAAAAAATTTTTTTTTTTTTTGAGACAGAGTCTCGCTCTGTCATCCAGACTGCAGTGCAGTGGCATAATTTCAGCTCACTGCAACTTTCACTCCCAGAGTTCAAGCAATCCTTCTGCCTCAGTCTCCAGAGTAGCTGGGAGCACAGGCGTGTGCCACCACACCCAGCTAATTTTTGCATTTTTACTAGAGACGGGGTTTTGCCACGTTAGCCAGGTTGGTCTCAGACTCCTGACCTCAAGTGATCCGCCCACCTGGACCTCCCAAAGTGCTGGGATTACAGGTGTGAGCCATCGCGCCCAACCCAAGTATCTCTTTTTTAAAATTAATGTGTGTGTGTGTTTTTTAAACCAAGTTTCCATTTTAAAACTTACCAGCTGGTCTGGAATAAACAGGTAGAGGCATAGAGGCATTTTTATTTTATAAGGAAATATTTAATTAATAGACATTAAAATCTGTTAAAAACTGGACTCATAAAAATATGTGTATACCAAAATTATTTATGTCGATTGTATTCCTCAATGGGCCAACCATAGCATCCCAGAGATGTGGCAACTTCACTGCCATTTCACCACCAAAATGCTTTACTATAGTTGTCAAAGCAAATTCAGCTCCTCTCCGTTGCACCAGATAAGGCTTCTGGGCCTTAAAATTAAATGTTAGATAAAAACAGAATTTCAGAAAAAAATCATAATACATTTAAAATTTTATCAAGAGAATTTAAAAGTCACCATCTAAGAATTCATAAGGTTATCACTAACCAAGTAAGCAATTATTAGACATGTTTATCACAATTATAAACATTTCCCAATAATTAAATTTACAGGGGCCTACAACACCTAACTAGATTTTTGTGTCAAAAGTAAAACACTTTTTTGGGGTTGAGTATAAGGAACAGAAGGATATGTGCTGTTCCTAGAGATAGTCCTAAGTGACTTCTTCTTTTCCTCCTTCTCTCTACCCCAAAGAAACTTGTCAGCTAGAAAGAAGATAGACAAAATGATGTGTCCTTATTTATACTCACTTAAGGGATAGAACAAGATCATCTGTTTAAGCTAACCCCAAGATTAATAATTCTTATTCAGTAGTAATTAGTCCATAAATCTGTCCCCCCAAAGATATTAATATATATTTTTAAAATTATGTTTAATTGGAGGAATAACTATGTAAACTATAGAGATATAAATATAAAAATCACAGTAAAATTTTTATTAAAATTATTATAGGGAAATATTGTCAGTGAAAAAGACTTTACAGAATGTTTTAAGGGAAATACAGATAATAAGCTGTTGATTTTAAAAAGAAACTTAAAAGAGACCTGTATTTTACAGAAACATGTCTTTTAGTATTGATGGTTTACTGCTGAACCGAGGTAAATTCCTATGCCTTGCAATGCATAGAGAGCATTCATTCCATTGCTAATAATGTGACTGTGAGATTTTCAAAACAAAACACTTTTTAAAAAACCACTGGTTAAGACTGTACTGTGTAACAGGTGGACCAATGGGAAATAATGGAAAGCCTGAATAATGGAAACCCTCACACATATGAAGCATGATATATAACAGAGGTGCCATTATAAATCAGAGAGGAAAGGATTCAATAGTGGGATAAATAGCTGTTCATATGGAAAATATAGAACCCTACCTCACACTATGCATTTAATAAACATCAAATTGACTAAAAAAGTCAGGTGGGTGGCAATTATATGACATTTGTGCATTGAAAGGACAGAGAAAAGTTAGCTTTCACTATTATTCAACACCTTCTCTACAGTCACTGCTATAGGACTGAATTAGTTTACAAGGCTGTCTTGCCTAGGAAGATAAAGTTAAGCTGGTAAAAATTACAAGAGACATGAGAAATTTGAAGTTTGCCATTTTTCTGGATCATATTGTTGGAGTACTCCAAAAATTAATCCCAGTCCTTTCACTTAAAAACAGTTTTGGAAGCTAATACAACTTAGTTCTCAATTTGTAAGCCAGATATTTGTTTAAAATCAAAGCATTCAAATAAAAAAACTATTTACCTCATCAAGTTCAACAAGAATATTTCCACTACTTCCTGCAGGAAGATCTGCTATTTGAGCTTTTACTGCTTTGGGGGTAGGACCTCGCCTACTTGTGATAGCAAAGGCAGCTTTCTGGTGCCTGTAGAGTGTAATTATACCTCTGTGCTTGGTGACAGTATGGTGCATTCCATCTTTTTCTGAGGTGGATCCTAATAAGAAAAAAGTCAAATAATCTTTTAATCATAATATTGGTGATACCAAATGTTTTCGGCTCCATAAGAGATGTAACATTTTTAAACTATGTCTTTTAGGCCTCAACTTTTATAGGCCAATGACATTTTCTTTAGACAATGGAATGGCAATAAAATAGTCTATTTAAATAGGATTTATACCTAATACAATTCAGGTCACAGTCATCATCTGAACAATGATAAACAGCACATGAAAAAATTATCGTGCCTTCAGTTAATATGTGTGTGTGTATATATATATACACGCATATATATATATTTTTTTTTTTAATTTTCTTTTTGAGACAGGGTCTTGCTCTGTTGCCCAGGCTGGACAGTAGTGCCACGGTCTCAGCTCACTGCAACCTCCACCTCCTAGGCTCAAGCGATCCAACCCTCCCACCTCAGCCTCCTGAGGAGCTAGGACTACAGGCACACACCACCACACCCAGGTAATTTTTTTATTTTTTGAAGAGACAGGGTTTCACCATGTTGCCCAGGCTGGTCTCAAACTCCTGAGCTCACTCCATCTGCCCGCCTCTGTCTCCCAAAATGTTGGGATTATAGGCATGAGCCACCATGCCCAGCCTATTAATTTTTTATTGTTGTTGCTGTTGTTTTTGAAATGGAGTCTCACTCTGTCACCTAGGCTGGAGTGCAGTGGTGCAATCTTGGCTCACTGCAACCTCTGCTTCCCAGGTTCAAGTGATTCTCGTGCCTCAGCCTCCCAAGTAGCTGGGATTACAGACGCGTGCCACCACGTACAGATAATTTTTATATATATTTTTTAGTAGAGATGGGGTATCACCATGTTGGCCAGGCTGGTCTCGAACTCCTTGCCTCAAGTTATTGGCCCACCTCGACCTCCTAAAGTGCTGGGATTACAGGCATGAGCCACCGCCTGGCCCCGGCCTATTAATTAATTAAATTTTTTTCAGACGGAGCTTCACTCTTGTTGCCCAGGCTGGAATGCAATGGTGCGATCTCAGCTCACCACAACCTGCACCTCTCAGGTTGAAGCCATTCTCCTGCCTCACCCTCCCAAGTAGCTGGGATATAGGCATGCGCCACCACGCCTGGCTAATTTTGTATTTTTAGTTGAGATGGGATTTCTCCATTTTGGTCAGGCTGGTCTTGAACTCCTGACCTCAGATGATCCGCCCGCCTCGGCCTCCCAAAGTGCTGGGATTACAGGCGTGAGCCGCCGTGCCCGGCCTGGTCTACTACTTTTTAAAAAATTATTGTGCCTAAGCATAACAAGAAACATTAAAAAATACCTCAAACAAATTTTCTCTAAAAGTCAAGTCCAGAGTCACCATGAATTCAAAAAAACATTGGCCACTGCAAAATAATGCTGCCTTACATAGCAATGGAGTAGGGCAGGTAACGGGGGGGCGGGGAATGACCCCATTGCATTTTTAAGATGTTAATATTCAAAATGTCCATCTTCTTCTTCCAGTTCATTCACATATTTTTCAAGATCTATGCTGCACCAAAGCTGTAAGTCTATTACATTTCAAATAATTTGTTCTCCCAATATCTTGTTAACAATCACACATACAAAAATCATACAGGACTGAGTCGTATGAGGGAAACATTGGTCTTTAAGACCCGCCTGCAGAGGGCAGTTCTCATTTTCCATATAAATTCTCCAAGTGAAAACAAAAAAGTTGGTTAAGTATTATTTACCAAAAGTACTAAAAGTTCACTTCACTAATCTCATAAAACATGCACTAAATTAGGGAAACCAAAGATTTTATAATAACTTTTTCAGTCAACAGGGTTGCTCCTTTGATTAAGCAAAAAAAAAAAAAAAAATTCATTAAATAACATTTGACACAATCAACTTTTCTAGTTTGAGACAGTAAACCATATAATGATGGTTTTGAAGGCAAAGGTAAAGGTGAACACCTGTCTTACAGATTTCAGTCATCTTATATCAGCTATTAGATCTATGAATGGCTTATTTGAACTTAAAGGCTTGTGACTGATAAGCAATATGTGCAAATTCATGTAACAAAGAGTTTTGTTATAATTAAGTATTTTATCTCAGAATGGGAAAAAGCATTAACATGAACTGGCTTTGTGCTTAAATTATACCCATAACTTAACAAAAACAAATTTAAAAGGTTATTTCTCTACCCCAAATAAAAGTTTAGGTATATACCTTTAGAATTTTCCTGGCCACTTTGTGTTGGTACTGGACATGTGACACAAGGAGTTAGATATGGGTCCACACAAAGTGAGCTACAGAGGTTTTTAATAATTTTTGAATTGGGACAGGGCGTCCTTGTTGTGCACTGCTGAAGGAGTTTAGCTATGCACTGAGCTGCATAGTTTTGCACTAGTGTATTCTCTTCTTTTTTAATTGTCTCCATTAATGGTTTTATGATAGGATTTAATTTCTCCGGAAGCTGCTGCAAGCTCACAACTGCACAGGCAGCAAAAGTATGCACTCTCAACTGCAACACTTGCCACTCTTGGTTGGTCTCTGTAACTGTCATTTGGACCTGCTGACGTTTACTATCTAACTGTTGTAACACTTGAGGATTTAAATCGAAAGATGATGTGGCTTCATTAAAAACAGTAGTGACCTATTAAAAAAAAAAAAGAAATTAAAAATCATTAATCATATCAACCCCAAACAGAATGTAAGCTCCTAAAGGGTAGACAGCAAGGTTTCTGTTTCAATTTTGGTTTCCACAATATGTAATATTGTTTTAGTACTCAGTAAACTAAGGTCTGAAACTTCCCAACTAAACTTTATCTTAATCTGACTGAAATTTAACATTAGCATTATATTCTTTAAGAAAGACATTCTCTTGAGAAGAATAAAATTACCTAACCTTTAAATATGTCTAATGGCTTTGAGGAAAATCACATTTAACACCCACAGAGTACTCTGGTGAAACGAGAAAGCTATAGGCAAATATAAACTAACTGTTCATTAAGGAATTCCAAAACTCACAAACTTCTTTTTGGGAAAAATATTTTCAACTCTAAAACTCACAAAAACTTAAGAGTGGCTGTTTACTAAGTGGCAAAGTGTTGCTAACTGAATCATTCTCATTTTTTCTTTAACCTCCCTTCTGGTGGAGATGCCCAGGCAATGGAAGAAAAAGAAACAAAACAAAACAGAACAAAATGGTGCAGTTATCATTCACTTAATTACCAACAGCTGTCTAAGACTACAGGACTGTTGTATCAGGCTACTTTACAAGCCCCATTAAAAGACTGTTCAGCCCATCTTTTTTTAACAACTTTATTCACATATAATTTGCATTCCACAAAAATTACCCATTTGAAATGTACAATGTATAAGATTTATATGAAACAGGGTTACAATGCTAAAAAGTTTCAAAACACTGTCCTAAATCCACTATGCTCATGTCACTTTTCAATGACTGTAGACAACTGAGGAAAAGCCTCCCAGTTACCCCCAAATTAATTCAATCATTCAACCAATATTTATTAAAAGATAAATAAGACATAAGGTCTTAATATGCTCAAAAAATGCAGACACTAATGTGGGAGAGATATAAATAAAGAATTAAGAAAATGTAACATATAACTGCAGTATGTGCAAGTTGCTGTGGGAATACAGAGCATTGCTTAATCCTTCTTAGAAGATATTAGTGGGAGACTTGCCAGAGGAGGGTAACACTTATGCTTCGTTTTTAAAGAATAGGCCAATCAGGGATTATAGGGACATCTTGGCAAACAAAGTGAGGTAGGGAGTGGAAAACAGGGCATTGTCCATGGAATTGAAAAGTTTATCATGGCTTGAGCACAACATGCAGAAAAAGAGATGAACTCTGGATGAGCACAGAGGGTTAGGGGTGGGGAATTCCTGGCAAAGGAAATAGAAGCTCAGGCCCAGAAGTGAGAATGAGCAGAAGTGAATGAGTGTAGTGTACTTCTGCAAGAAGAAAGCTAATTGGGCATGTAGAGAAAGTCTGAGAAATAATGAGGAGATAAGAGATGGAGAATTTAGAAGGTGATGAAAAGAAGAAAGATAAAAATGAAAAAGCAAGGAAAAGGAAAATAATGTTTTTAAGCAGGAGAGGGATGTTCAGGGTGGCACAAAAAGAGCATTGCTAGTCTAGCACAGCATGCAGGATGAAACGGACCAGAGGCTGCCTGGAGCCCTAGAGATGAATCTGGACCTAGATATAAAGTACTAAGATCTGACTGGGCTCTGATAATGGAAATAGAGAAGAGATTAAACATGAGACTTTATTTTATTTATTTATTTTTTTTGAGACGGAGTCTCGCTCTGTGGCCCAGGCTGGAGTGCAATGGCATGATCTCGGCTCACTGCAAGTTCCACCTCCTGGGTTCACGCCATTCTCCCGCCTCAGCCTCCTGAGTAGCTGGGACTACAGGTGCCCGCCACCACGCCCGGCTAATTTTTTATATTTTTAGTAGAGATGGGGTTTCACTGTGTCAGCCAGGATGGTCTCGATCTCCTGACCTCATGATCCGCCCGCCTCAGCCTCCCAAAGTGCTGGAGTTACAGGTGTGAGCCACTGCGCCTGGCCTAAACACATGAGACTTTCTGAAAGAAAATGCTGACAAGATTTGTGACTGGAATAAAAAGAGTATCTTTGTCAAAAAAAAAAAAAAAAAAAAAAAAACCAGTTTTTGTTGGGTTCAGTGTGAAGTGACAGTGAGATATTTAAGTAAAAATGCCTAAAAGAGAATGTAAGAAAGATTGACAGTAGATACCACACAGTACATGGGTAGGAACTAAATCATGAGAATGGTGAAAGAGACAAAGATAGACAGCACGGAAATGTCTATATTTGGCAGGTAACGGGAAAATAGGGATTCAATGAAAGACACAAAAAGGGGCTCCTTTGAAAACTGCCCTTCCCTCAAAAGTCTCTTCGAGGAAAAGAAAAAAGAAAAAAGAAAAAAGTCTCTCCCAGTGATTCTGATATTTATGCTTGTCTTCTAGCCCAAGTCAAAACAACTGAAGAGTAAAAGATCTGAATAAGCAAATCTTTAATTAAAGGGGCCATTTGATGAGCTTAAAAAATAAAAGTTCCCAGAAATAGTAGGCAGGGAACCCAGACTCAAGAAAATTTGAGATTTAATTCCAGACAGGCAAAAAAATAGGGAGAGGAGGCAAAAAGGAAAACTTACAGAATAACAACAATCAGGAAAATAACTTTATAAAAGAAGAGAACCCAGGGGGAAAAAACAGCAATTTTAGCTTTCTCTCACAGGTGAGAACAAAAAAATTCAACTATATTATTCAACTAGAAATGGGGATAAGAAATGAAGATTACTATTTTCATGGGGACCAACATAAATGAAGTGGCTCAACTTCTGATCCTATAACTAAAAAAGGAAGAACTCATATATACCACACCTAACCTCATGCACTTACTAAGCACAAAGCTGCTGTAATGAAGCATGGATGCTGGCATAAGGAAAGACAAATAGACTGAACAAATGGAGCCCAGATACAGAGCCATACTTTATAACTTCAGTTGGTTTTTGACAAAGGCGCCAAAACAATCCAGTAGTGAAAGGAAAGTATTTTCAATAAATAATGTTGGAAAAATTAGATATCTATAAGAAAAACAAACCTCAACCTCTACTCCATACTATACACAAACATTAATTCCAAATGAATGATAAATCATAAAAATTAAATGACAAAACTTTAAAAGAAAACATATCTGAATACCTTTGCCACTTGGAGAGTAAAAAAAAAGATTACTTAAGTCACAGAACATAGTAGCCATGAAAGAAAACAACTGATAGAATTCACCAAAATTTAAAATATCTGCTCATCCAAAGACAGCACTGAGAAGTAAAAAGCAAGCCACTCACTGCCAGAAAAATATTTAGAAAGCATCTATTTGACAAAGGATTGGAATCCAGGATACATAAAGAACTCCCACAACTCAATAACAACCAACCAACCTAATTCAAAGTAGACAATATTTTGAAAAGATATTTCAGAAAGGAAAAATATACAAATGACCAATAAAAAATTAAAAAGTATTCAACATATTAGTCATCAAGGAAATGGAAATTAAAACCACAATAACACTATCACATAATCACTAAAAGTGAAAGGACTGACCACATCAAATACTGATGATGTGGAGTAACCAGAACTCTCACAGATTGATGGTCAGAGGGTAAAATGATACAATCTCTTTGGGGAACAGTCCATAGTTTTTTCTAAAACTAAACCTACAACTACCTTATGATTTAGCAATTCCACTCCTATATATTTACCCAAGAAAAATGAAAGCGGATGTCCACAAAGACTTGTAGAAGAATGTTTATAGCGACTTTGTTCATAACAGACAAAAAGTGGTAACAGCCCAAGTGTCCATAAACAGGAGAATGGCTTTAACTAGTTGTGGTATAAAAATACAATGAATAAAACTCAAGCAATAAAAAAAGAATAAGTTATTGATATATATATAACACAGATTAGTTTCAAAAACACCATTCTAAGAAAAACCCTTACACCAAAGAGCACAGTGTATGATTCAATTTACATGAAATTCTAGAACAGGAAAAAGTAATGTATCTTTGTGGGGGGAATGAGAATAATGGTTACGTGGTGGCAGGGCGAGGCAGAGATTACTGGGAAGTGGTGATGGTAATGTTCTGTATCTTGACAGGGGTTCAGGTTTCATAGGTATATGCATCTGTCAAAATTCACCAAATGGTCCACCTAAGATTTGTGTGCTTTAGCACATAAATTCTGCCTCAAAATAGCAAAAAATCATAAACAAATACTGAATTTTAGTTAATTATATAAAATGCTGAAGTATAATGATATCTGAAACTTACTTAGAAATGCATTAAAAAACTGCCCTGGATAGATTCATGGTTGGATAGAGGGGTAGGTAGGTGAATACATATGTGATAAAGTAAATCTGGTAAAATGTTAACTATAAAATCTAGCTGTTAAGTATGAGTGTTATGTAATTTCATCACTTTTTCTATATGTTTGAATATTTTCATTATAAGCTGAGAGCAGGAAGAAGTACTCAGGAACTTGTAGAAGCAGTTTTTTCTATACTCTGCAGTGTTAAGCAAAACCGAAATGACAAAATATAATAGCTTTTTCTAATAAAGGTGCATTGATTTATCAGAATTTTAGTTTAAAAAAAAAAATCCTCCATTATTCTCTTATCTCAAGAAAAGCCTATACAATGAAATAGCTTTTCTAAAGGGTAGAGATGACAGGCTATCAAGCCACATATAGACTCAACAAATTAATGTGTTTTTGTGATAAACATGTCATGACAAATTTCTAACCTATATTTCATGTTCTATCTATAATTAAGAAAGTTATTTCTTTACTCACCAAGTCACTAGCTTGATCTATTGTTAAAACATTGTTGTTTACTCTGTTACCAACTTCAATATGTACATCAGCTAATGATGATATAAGTTGTTTACATTCATTCTGCATTCGCGTGAATGGAACAGCAATTTCGTCATAATATAAATGTTCTGAAAGGATATCAAGTAAACGTGGCTGCACAGCTAAGGTAACAGCTTTACACTCCTAAAATACAACAGACAACAAATAGGGCAACTATATGAACATTAACTTTACAGATACAGAAATCATCATTTGCAGACTACCAAGTTCTAAATTCTTTCTTATATTGAATCTATAATCTGTTACTTTTCCAAACAACAGTTAGTTGCACAGAAAAAAGGGTATTACACCCAAATTATTGTAAAATGTTAACATGAATGACTACAGAACATGCATATGGAACTATTACAATTTCATTCTCTACCTATCCAAAGTTTACGTGTATATATATCACAGATTTTAAAGTATATTACTGTAAAAAAAAAAAAAAAATCAGTCAGAAAAGAACACCTATCATGCACTAATTAAAAATGTTACTTAAAAACTCATTATTAGATAACAGTTGAACCCTAAGCTTCACATGCCATACTGTAAAAGTGGATACAAAATTTAAAAGCTACTTACCTGCCCCCAAATTTAACCAACCCTTCCCACTCTCTCTGGTTGTTTTCTGCCCCAAACCGAGGGGAAATGGCCTCAGTGGTGAGCCATGAGGGGTTCTGTGGGATCTGGGTGATCAGCCTGGGCGATCAGCCTGGGCTTCACAGAGTAAGTCCATGAAGCTCTGTGAGTGTCCAGAAACCGAACTGTCAACACTTGCTGCTGAGTCTGAGAGGCACAAAAACATAGCATCACTGCCTCTCCAGCACACCAACTCCTGCCTAAAAACAGATGAGCTTTGCTTCTTTCCAGAGGCCAAGCAGGGGTGTCAGTTGCAACGGAGCATGGCTCAATTACTTTTAGATATAGCTTTGACAAACTGCTAAGAGGCAGTAACGAGTAACTCTCACAGCAAGTGCAGACAGTTAAATTTCCAGAATTCCAGTCAACGAAATAAACAAAGCCAGTAGAAAGTTTCTTTGATTTACAGAAGTATGTCTTATACAAAATCACACATCTTCCTAGAAGTTAAAGGTTAAAGAGGCTGGAAGGGAATGGTTTATTTGGAAACATGAAGATTTTGGTTTAAATACAGAGATGTTATTCTTCCTGTGACCAAAAATTCTGCCTTTGCTACTACTCACACAAATAGATCTCTAATACTCAAAGCCTCATCCTTTGTAGTTTTCAATGATACCTGAGAGATATACAGAGGAATGGATGACCAATAGTTTCTGGACTACTTTCACATATACATGGTTTTTAATAGGGACATTTCTTAACAGACTGTACAGTCAAGAGCAAATATTAAGTATGAGCATAACTAGTAGTTGGAGGTGTGAGTAGGGGTTCTAAGACAGAGTCCAGAGTTAAAAGTAAATGGGAGAGAAATAATGTTCAATAGAATTTGGACACTTTTCTATAACTCTTGGATTTTTATACATCGAAAATTGTCACTTTTCTGTTGTAAATTATAATGTAAATAAGCCTAACAGCTAATGGAAATTGCTTTACTTAATTGTCTTTCTTACTTTTGGGGCAAAATCTTACCTTTTGTAAAGCAGCCCATTCACAGATTACCAAAGCTACACTAATCCTTTGTAAAGCAGACTTGGAGTTCAAATGGAAGAGTAGTAACTGGCCCAGGGATTCAGCAGGTTTAATTTCTTGAGTTACCACATTTACACCTGGATCACAAATACAGCAACAAAGTGCTCCTAACAACCTAAGAGGGAGAAAAAGGAAGTTACTATAAGAAATTACTTGAAGTAAAGTTTCCCCATACTTCGAGAAATTACTTCAATTTCCTATAATTACTTGAAGTAAAATTTGGCTTTCTGAACCCATAACTTTTCCCACAGAAGATATAATGACTATCTTGTCTTCATAAGAAGATAGAAATCCTATTTTTTTTTTTTTTTTTTGAGACGGAGTCTCGCTCTGTCGCCCAGGCTGGAGTGCAGTGGCACAATCTCGGCTCACTGCAAGCTCCGCCTCCCGGGTTCACGCCATTCTCCTGCCTCAGCCTCCCGAGTAGCTGGGACTACAGGCGCCCGCCACTGCGCCCGGCTAATTTTTTCTATTTTTAGTAGAGACGGGGTTTCACCGTGTTAGCCAGGATGGTCTCGATCTCCTGACCTTGTGATCCGCCCGCCTCGGCCTCCCAAAGTGCTGGGATTACAGGCGTGAGCCACCGCGCCCGGCCAGAAATCCTATTTTTAAAGCTTCAAAATAATTAGAAGTATTTACTTACTCTAATTTTTCCTTAGGCTATAATTAGTGTGATGAAGAAAGGAAGGATTGATGGAGACAGCAGAGGAATGTTTTGTTGGTTAAATAACCCTGAAGGCCGGACTTGTAAATGTATGACTACCTGGCACTTAATGTACACTCACTTGGCTGCCATCATTCTGGCCCGCATAACCACAAAATCCCTGGTGGCTGGGTCTTCCATGATGGTTTCGGCACCTGCAATATACTCCTGAAGTACTTCTTTACTCTGGCTTTGGCCTTGGCGCACCTTACCACCTGTTTTTTCCTACAGAAGGAGGGGAAAAAAGAAAAACAATAAAGATTAATCATTAAAACTAAACAGGCAACAACAAAAATACGATCTTTTTAAAATAATCCCAGTAAAATACAATTCTTTTCACAAAGTTTTAATGGATAAACATTACTATTCATTTTGTCAGGGTCCTAATAAAATAATGGTTTCTCCTTACTTATGTTAATTAAATCACACTTATAACAAGGCAATACAGATTTTTAAATACAGTTACTGTATTAATAATTAGATGATGAACACACAAATACATTATGTGCTTCTACACTTACCTTGGCTCTAGCTTTTACTTCTAGCAACATATTTAAATCGATAGGTAAATGAGAAGGCTGCATCATCAAGCAAAGCCAAGCACCCATCCATGGGCAAGCAGCTGCTACCACATACTGAACTGAAGCCTTACTCAACAGTTCCATCCAAACCTGCAGGGTAAAACGGGGACATGAAAGTGAATTTTTTCTAATAAAAATAATAAACTCTAACACTTATCTTTAGGAATACTGAGGTTTTTTAAAGTAGGAAATAGCACAGAGATTTAGAAATTCAATATAGAGGCTTATTTTTGAAATATAGTACTGTTTTCTAATAGGTTTGTACACTAAAAAAAAGTAATGCAAAGGAAAGATTTTTTTAAAAAAGAACAGAATTCTCTTTTTTTAGAAAAACATGCCCATAAAAGTACTACAGAATTGTCAAAATCTCAGTAAGTCACTGAAATAAATCCTTTGCATATATCATAGAACTCAATATTAAAGCAGTCCTATATCCAACACACACTTAAAAATAGCTCCTAATATTCTCTGCTAAACTCAGAGTTGGTAATAACCTAGCATAAATTTAAAACAGTGTAAGTCTTGATTCATGATCTTACTTAATAAGGATAAGGTACCTTTCCTGATGCCTAACATTTAATGGGCTAGGACTAGCCTATGGAAAGATCACCACTGTTAATCCAAGGTTGTTAACAATGAGTCACTTTAGAGGCCAACAAGTCAAGAGTAATTTAACAGATTATAAAGGTACAAAAGTACCATTTCCCCCCATAAATGCTATTAAATATATCAAATGGCTCCTCCTTTAATGATTCTAACACATATGTTCACTCTTTCTAAGGAGGGAAAAAAGTACAAGTTTCAACAATAATTAGACTCATATTACCAATAGATCCCAAAAGGTACTTTGCAGAATCTATAAGCATGCTGATAAACAACAAGATGAGGGCCAGAAAAAAGCAATCTTTTCCTCATTTCATTTTCTGTATTGAGGCTATCAGAAAGTGCTTAAAACACACATGTAAGTCAGATAATAAGAGGAAGAAGCATGGCCAATCAAAACGATTACATGCTACATGTAAGAAGCCTAGTTCTCTGTCTCATCTTGCAGATCTCTAGACTTTTCAAATCTCCAAGAGATATAAATGATCTACAGAACAGCAATTATGAAAAATTTTAAAAACCTACAAAAGTTACCAGGAAAAGGAATACAAATACATTTGCTGTGTACCTTGTGAATAAGGTCCAGAATTTCCTGACTGCTTTCCAAAACACAGAACTGAAAAATGTGTCGCAGCATATCAGGCAGTATAGGTATAAGCCAAGACGAAGAGTTCTGAAAACAAAAACAGAATTAAAAGCTGTAGCACATAATTCTTGGATGTTAGCTTACCTGAAGAATTGTATGTCAAATAACAGAAGTACTACCATGAAAAGATTGCATGGTTTCATTAAAAAGGCTAAACAAGTGATAAACTTTGACAAGATTTTGAGGCAACAAACACCTTATTTACTATACCAATGGTCTGAAGAAATAACAGCATATAATCACTGAGAAGCTGGAAAAAGTCTGATTATCATTAACAACAATTTTGCCTCAAAGTTGAAATCATCCTCCATATGGAACCAACCTCTAACCAGCAACATCTCTCTGGTTATATCATACATCACTGCTTTGTCAAGAAAATCTGTAAAATACTCAGGTTACTGCTGTTGTGCCAGATGATCAGAGTTTAAGTTCTATGTGCTCACCAATAATCCAAGTAATGAATTATACTATAATATCCAACCCAGAAACTTCTACTTGGAGTTCACTACAAAATTAAGGTAAAGGTTCTTCATCTATTTTGGGTCAGGGACCCTTTAAAACTCTGATGAAAACTATGTACACTGTGTTATCAGAAAAACATATAATTACAAACAATATTTTCCTTCCAAGGTTCAGGGAATCTCCTAAAGCCTGGGTTAAGAACCTCAATTTAAGGAATTTCCTAACAATTCAAAGGCCCACCCAAATCAAGCAACCAAACAGTGCTTAACCAAGTATCTAATGTGTATCTAGAATTCCCAGAATAAGGAATTCCAAACTGTCTATTGCTATTCAAACAATTATAAGCTCACTGGATAAAAATGTCCATCAGAGAAATTCTACTAACTAGCTCAAAGTACCTATCAGTATCCTGCCCTCCACATGACTTTTTTAAAGAACTAAATACAGTGTCTCTATGAGAAATTTGGAAATTTTAACTGAAATTGCAGAAATCCACACGTTCTAGGGATAATAAATGCTTTTTAACTTAGAAAGCTACCTATAATTTGTAGCCAATGGAAAACTAATGACAAAGGTAGGACCAGAGTTTTATGTTCACAACATGGTTTGAAACAAGTTTTTAAAAGGCCACATGACTCCTCAAAGAGGTAAAAACAGAACTGCCATTTGACCTAGCAATCTCTTTACTGGGCGTATACCCAAAGGAATATAAATAATTCTATCATAAAGACACATGCATGAATATGTTCACTGCAACACTATTCACAAGAGCAAAGATCTGGAATCAACCTAAATGTCCATCAACAGTAGTCTGGATAAAGAAAATGTGGTACACACACACCATAGAATACTATGCAGCCTTAAAAAAGAACAAGATCATGTTCTTTGTAGGAACATGGATGGAGCAGGAGGCTATTATCCTTAGCAAACTAACACAAGAACAGAGAAGTACATATTCTCACTTTAAGTGGGAGCTAGCTGACGAGAACACATGGACACAAAGAGAGGAACAAAAGACACTGGGGTCTACTTGAGGGTGGGAAGGAGGAAAGGATCAGAAAAAATAACTGTTGATTATTAAGCTTAGTACCTAGGTGGCAAAATAATCTTACAACAAACCCCCATGACGTAAGTTTACCTATATAACAAACCCATACATGTACCCATGAACCTAAAATGAAAGTTAAAAAAAAAACAAGCCATAAGTCATCAACTGGAGGAGCATTCTCACTACTTCGCTATGTCTTAACTCTACTTTTCATTGAAAGGGAAAGGGAAGCTGGGAAGAAAAAAATTCTTCTTTTCTCATTAGAGGGAATTAGGGACAATCTTAACAGAATTAGGAAAGCTATAATAGCAATAAGCAAATAATTTGGTGTTACTCTTCCATAATATCTCTTAATTTCTGATTTCCCCCCAACATATTTACCAACTCTCTTCCCTGACTCTCAACCCCAACAATGGCAATCCAAGCAGTTGCCTGTAGGTCCCCAAAAGTAACATCTGTACAGGAAGATTTTCCCCCTATATTTATGACCAATACATGTGATATACATGTGTAGTTGTTTTCTCAGGCTACAAACATCGTTACTCTACTAAATTCTACTTTACAATTATTAAAAACAACCAGAGAAGGAAAGGATACAAGGGTAGAACACAGGATTTTTAGGGCAGTTAAACTATTCTGTGTGATATTGTAATTGTGGATACATGACATCATGTTTGTCAAGCCAATAGAATGTATACTACTGAGGGTGAACCCTAATGTAAATTATAGACTTTGGTTGATAATAATGTGTCAATGTAGGTTCACTGATTGTAACACATTAGTACTAGTCTGGTATGGGATACTGATGGTGGGGGAGGCAGTGTTGAGGATGAGGGATGGGATATATGGAAACTGTACTTTTCTCTTCAATTTTGCTCTGAAACTAAACTGCTCTGAAAAATAAAGTCTAGGCAAATAAGTATATACAAAGATGGCCCACATCATATGTTGCCAGGAACATACAAATTAAAACAACGATGAGATACCACTTTATACCTGTTAGCATGGCCAAAATCCAGAACACTGACAACAAATGCTGGCCAGGATATGAATCAACAGGAACTCTCACTCATCGCTGGTAGGAATTGCAAAATGGGGCAGCTATTTTGGAAGGTTCTCACAAAAATTAAAAATACTCTTAACATCCAGCAATTGTGCTTCCTGATATTACCCAAAGGAGGCAAAAAAGTCCACACAAAAACCTGCACAAGATGTTTATAGCAGCTTTATTCACAACTGCCAAAACTTGGAAGCAAGCAAGATGTCTTCAGTAGGTCAATGGATAAACAAACTGATACAACCAGACAACGGAGTATTATTCACTAAAAAGAAAAGGAACGATCAAGTCATGAAAAGACACAGAGAAATCTTAAATGCATATTACTAAGTGAAAGAAGTCAATCTGAAAAGGCTCCATACTGTATGATTTCAACTACATGACATTCTGGAAAAGGCAAAACTATGGAAATGGTATTTCTTCCTCTGATCTGCCTTCCTGAGACTCAGATAAGGAGAGTTGATGACAAACAGAAATAGGACTCATGGACGTTTCACTGTACCTGAAAATGAAGGTAAAACTTCTAACCATCTATACCCCCCTTCCATGTTGCCCTCCACCAAACCAACTTCCTGTCACTTACTAATTTAGTGCCATCCTGCTCTCTTCTGCCTCCAGAGTTATACATACTATTCCTTCCTCTGACTCTTACCCTTACTTTCCCCTGGCTAAATTCCACTTACTCTTCGGGTTTCAGCTTAAACTTCACTTCTAACTTGATGCCTTCCCTGTCCATCACCCATCTCACTTAGGATCCAATAGTGTCTTCTACCTCCCATATCAGATAGTTACCTTATTAAGTTATTCTTGTTTAGTTATCTGTCTTCTCCTGTCTGTCTAGTTTCCTATTTTAAGCACTACAGGAGAGCAAAGGCCTTGCCTCTTACCACTATCTAGAGAATTGTTCAAGCACACAGCAGGCACTTAAATAGTTGTTGAAATCCATCCTGGCCACTGGAAATGATCCAAAGTCGTATAATATAAGAAATGTTTTCTCAGCATTTTGTACAGGGTCTTAAAAAGAAACACGTATTTGATCTTCGTCCCCAGCTCCTGGCACAGAGCTCCTAAAACCCAAAGAACTTCCTGCGTGATAGGGATTATTCATAATAACCATAATTTAGTTTGCGCTAATGAAATGACTCTCGGTAGGCCCCAAGATAGCTTCAGAATGGGGGCTGGTTGCCAGAGGAACTAACTATGTGATTAGAGGGCTAGAACTTTCAGCCTGCCTTCTGCTCCCCACCTCCAGAGCTGGAGGGGTTGGAGATTAAGTTAATCACCTCACTAATGGTTAATAATTCAATCAATCAGGACTACATAATAGAGTCTCCATAAAACCCCTAAATTTATGGGTTTATGGGTTGGTGAGTGCACAGAGGTGCTGAGGGTGGCGTGCCTAAAGAAGGCATGGAAGCTCCAAGCACCTCATCCCCATACCTTGCCTTGTGCATCTCCTTCCATCTGGCTGTTCCTAAGTTGTGTCCTTTATAGTAAACTGGCAATTGTAATTACCAGTTTAACAGCCTTTCTGAGTTCTGTGAAGCATTCTAACAAGTTATCAAACCTGAGGACAGGGTCAGGGGAATCCAGTTTACAGACAGTAGGTAAGAAGTATGGAAGGCCCAACACTTGCAACTGGTATCTGTTGTGTGACTGAGCCCTCTAACTTGTGGGAGCTGACACTAATTCCAGGTAGACTGTCAGAACTGAACTGAATTGTAAGATACCCAGCTGGTGTCCAGGGAGTTGGATAATTGGTTGGTGTAAGGAAGAAAACCCGCAGATTTGGTGTCAGGAATATTGTATTGTAAAAATGGCTCAGCAACAGATCCCTAACTGGCAGATTTGGCATGTCAGGTGGGATAAGATCTTGTCTGTACCCTTTTGTTATAATCCCACTTTTATCTTCCCACAAAATGGGTACACTCAGAAAAAAAGGAGCAATCTGAGCATTACCACAAACACCTGATTCTTGCCTGCAGGCCAATTCATCATGTCTACCAGCATATCAAATGTTCTCAGACTGCAGGGAAGATGATCAGGAGAGAACCTATAACTTGGTGATGAATCACACTGAGTTCTTTCACTAATTTTACTAATTTGCTCTGAAACCCTATTTTGATCCACAGCCAAAGGAAAAGAAAATTTCCGTATTTAGACAGTTTATAATGCCTTGTTCTATTCATTTCTCCAACCAACATTTATTGAAGATCAGCTAAATATTTCAGCTTTGCTCTCTCCTTTTCATATTTTTATAAAATCTGGCAATACCCAATTATGCTAGCATTCTCTAAGGCCAAAGTCTTAGTTCAGGCTCTTTGTTTCCTACTTATTTGTGTATGTTAAATTTTCTAACATTCTAAACTATGCTTCAGATTCCAACCCAATCTCACGTAATATCTTCATGTAATAACTAAACTTGCCCTTCAAACAAAAGTTAATTTACTGGTAACTGAA